GAGAAGCCCAGGGGTGCAGTGAACCTCTCTGGGGAGTGGGGAGGGGCGTGAGGGGACACAAAGGAGGGGTTCTGGGGGCCTCAGTGGACCTGACACTAACGGGGAGGAGGGCCCAGTGGGCGTAGTGCTGGGGACTCAGGCAGACAATGGTGGCGAGTGTGTGAGAGGCGGAGGTGGAAGGAGCGGGGCTTGGGCTCTGTCCCGGAGATGAGGAGGTTCAGGGCGGTTGAGTCTTAGTGCTGGTGTGTGACCCTGTCCCGACCCCTGATCACGGGATGAATGCCCAGGGAGAAGGGGTCTTCCAGGATGCGCCCGAGTTCATGCTTAACCCTGAGAGGTGAGGGCACCATGCCAGTCTCAGGTCCACTCTGACACCTGCCGCTGAAGGTGCCACTCCAAGGCACCACAAGTGACCTTGGCACAGGGGCCTCTTCTGGCCTGTGGAGGAGGACAGAGCCTTCAGGGAGCTGCGCTCCTAGTCCTGCTCGTCCTGATGGTGGGTCACACTGTGGAGGGCTATGTGGGCATTCAGATGTTGTTTCCAAGAAAGACGATTTTATTCAAAAAGCCAAGTAAATGGGGCCAGCAGATGGTGTAGCGGTTATGCCGCTGGACTCCCATATGCCGCTGCGGTTCAAGTCTTGGACCCGGCAGCTTGAAATTCACGGCAGGCGCATGTGTGTGCGTGCCCAAGATCTCGGGAGGAGGTAAGACTGAGGCTGAGTTAGGAACACCCAGGAGTAGAGAACTGAAGGGTGAGGAGGACGGAGCCAGGGAGGAGAGCCATGTGGGAAGGGCTGGCCTAGCGACTCCGTGGGGCTGTCTGCAGGTCTGTCCCGGGTGAAGGGTGGTGTCTGTGGACGCCTGTATGGACCAGCTCTAGTCCCGAATTCCCAGGGCTTCCAGGTCCCACTGCCTGCTCCAGGAATTCACAGCCTTGCATGAGCCCAACACTGAGTCACCCACTGTCCCTTTTTCCCCGTGAAGACTCAACCAGACTGAGAAGCCCCAGAGGACTTTGAGCCAGACAGGACCCCAGACACCACCACAGACTTCGAGGACCTCAGTGGAAGGACCCATGCATCTCTGGTCCCAGGTCCCAGAGGCTGCCGCTGCCCCCTCCAAAGCTCTCTGTCTCCTTCCCTCCGGTGGCCCAAACACCTGACATTTCAAATTGGACCCCTCAGTTCCTGCTCTGTGCTACTCCTTACCCAAAATCTCATTCTGCCCTGATGACTAACCCAGGGCTTTGGGGGCCTGCAAGCCAAGGGAGAGGGCCCAGAGCCCCAGGCACTGCAGATGAGTCACAGCCACCAGCCAGGCAGTAGCCAACCATGACTGCAACTCAGACGGCCCCTTCCAGCCCGGGAGTCAGGAGAAGCAGTTAAGGGCCAGAGCCGCCGGTCAGTGGGGTTGCTGCGTCCACACGAAAGCTTGCTGAGGGAATTCAGGAAACCAGGACCAACTGGTAGACACCAAACACGTGCATGGCTCGACACATCCCTGTCCTGCTGCAGACTAAGCTGTGTCCCCAAAAAACCCCATGCCAAAGTTCTAACCCCCACTGTGATTGTAGCTGAAATGCAGCCTTTAAGGAGAGAGGTAAGATTAAATGAGGCCGTAAGGATGAGGCCCTAGTCCTACAGAAGAGATTTTTCTTTTCTTTTTTATTTTTTTTTTGGAGAGGTTTTCGCTATAGTGTGCGTGCACTCGCCAGAGAGAGACATAGAGACAGAAAGCAAGAAATCACTCCCCAGGGGGGATGGCCACGGCGCAATCCCTTCTCCTCCATTCTCCTCTTGGGATCTTGGGCACACACGCACACGCGCATGGCTTGAGTTCCGAGCCACTGGGTCCGGGACGCAAACCGCAGTCGACTACATGGGAGTCGAGCGACATAGCCATTACGATAACTGCTGGTTCCCCAGAAGAGATTTTTCTAAGACCGAGGTACCTCAGAGTCTCTCTCTGCATGCACACACAGGGCCAGAGAAGGGCGCACTGAGAAGGTGGCCATCTCTCTGCTGGCCAGGAAGAGAGCCCTCACCAGAAACCTAATCTCCCAGGACCGTGATCTTGGAGGGTATCATGGACTGAATGTGCCCCCCCCCATTCACGCATCGAAGCTCTAGCCCTGAGGTGATGGCACTTGGAGGGGCACCCCGGCAGGTGGTTAGGCTCAGATGAGGCTACGAGGAGGGCCCTCACGGTAGGATTAGTGGGAGAGGGAACAAGATACAGCAAGCAAGAACGCAGCAGGCCCCAAGGCAGAAGAGGGCCCTCACCAGGAATCCGATCTGCCGGCATCCTTGTCTCACGCTCCGAGCCTCCAGAACTACGAGAAACTGACTTCTGTTGTGTAAACCACCCAATCTGTGGTCCAGGGACAGCTCCCGAAATCCAACACAACTCCTTCCCCAGTCCCAGACCCAGCCTGAAGGAACTCTGATGGCACTACTTATCTGTTCTTTTAACAAATAGTGAGTGAGTGCCCTGTGCCAGACACCGCCCCAGACCTGGTGATCATTTATTCGAAGGAGACAAAATACTCTCTCCTGAAGGTTACAGTCTGACAGGAAAGACAGGAAAGCAAACATATTAGGTCGATGACCCAATAGTAACAGTAAATGATATGGTAAGTGTTCATATTATTTATTGCTGGGTAACAAGTCTAAAAAAACGACCCCAAAACAAAACAACTTTTAGGGCCAGGTGTAGAGGTTAAGGTAACTGGGCTCAACATGGCCAACTGCATAGTTCAAGACCTGGACACGGCGGCTTGAAAAACATGTCGGGCACGTGTGGGTGTGAGCTCAAATCCTGAGAGGAAAGTGGAAGAAAAGGGATTGCAGCCTGGCCATACCCTTGGGGGGTGATTTCTCACTTTCTCTCTCTCTCTCTCTCTCTCTTTCCAGCAAGTCCACATTCCCTATAGCAAACTAAAAAAAAATAAAGAATATTTATAACCCCTCATCCTGTGGCTTGACTGGGCTATTGGGCAGTTCTGCTCAGTGTGAGATGGACTAGGGTGCCTCATCTGGAGGCCGGGCTGGCCCAGAAGACTCTAGAGGGTGCCCATACCAGGCAGCTCACTGGGGCTGGTCCCACGTGGCCCATACATTCCTCCATCTGCTGCTCCAGCGGCCGGCCTGCTCTCAGCTCTACCCTGGGCTCTCGGGGTGTTTCAAGAAGCCAAGATCCAAAAGGCACCTTATGTCAGAACCCAGAAGTCAGGCAGTGTCATTTCCCCATGTTTGGCATCAAAGCTTGTCACAGATTTAAGGGGAGAGAGTTCAGGCCCCGCCAAAGTCCATGTCAAACTGCTAAGGAACATGGACAACAGCAGATGTTGAGGCCTCCTTTGGGACAAGGCTCCTTTATCCTTGGAAAGTGATAGGAGATATAGTTTTAAATAATGAAAAGTAGACAATTGATAAAAAGTAACAGAAGAAGGAGTGCTTTATTTTTATGGCATATTTAATGAATTTTAATGTTACCCTTACACAGGGACCATACTAATCTTCTCTGTACGGTCCCAGTTTTAGAATATGTGCTGAACACAGAAGCAGCACTTTAAGAGAGATTTTTGCTATAGGGCACGTGCACTCACTGGAGAGACAGTGAGAAAGAGACAGTGAGAAAGAGACAGTGAGAAATCAGCCCCCAGGAGGGATGGCCATGCTGCAATACCTTTGTGTTTTGTTTGAGAGGTTTTTTGCTATAAGGCGCGTGCACTCGCCAGAGAGAGACAGAGAGACAGACAAGAAATCACCCCCCCAGGGGGATGGTCACCCTGCAATCCCTTCTCCTCCATTCTCCTCTGGGGACCTTGGGCATGCACACATACGCACCCGGCGTGAGTTTTAAGCCACCAGGTCTGGGACATGAACCACGGTCGACTACATGGGAGTCTAGAGACATAGCCATTACGCTAACTGCTGGTCCCACCTTTGTGTGTTTTAAGTTCACCCAGCATCTCTCTCTCTCTCTCTCTCTTTCCAGCAAGTCCACATTCCCTATAGCAAACTAAAAAAAAATAAAGAATATTTATAACCCCTCATCCTGTGGCTTGACTGGGCTATTGGGCAGTTCTGCTCAGTGTGAGATGGACTAGGGTGCCTCATCTGGAGGCCGGGCTGGCCCAGAAGACTCTAGAGGGTGCCCATACCAGGCAGCTCACTGGGGCTGGTCCCACGTGGCCCATACATTCCTCCATCTGCTGCTCCAGCGGCCGGCCTGCTCTCAGCTCTACCCTGGGCTCTCGGGGTGTTTCAAGAAGCCAAGATCCAAAAGGCACCTTATGTCAGAACCCAGAAGTCAGGCAGTGTCATTTCCCCATGTTTGGCATCAAAGCTTGTCACAGATTTAAGGGGAGAGAGTTCAGGCCCCGCCAAAGTCCATGTCAAACTGCTAAGGAACATGGACAACAGCAGATGTTGAGGCCTCCTTTGGGACAAGGCTCCTTTATCCTTGGAAAGTGATAGGAGATATAGTTTTAAATAATGAAAAGTAGACAATTGATAAAAAGTAACAGAAGAAGGAGTGCTTTATTTTTATGGCATATTTAATGAATTTTAATGTTACCCTTACACAGGGACCATACTAATCTTCTCTGTACGGTCCCAGTTTTAGAATATGTGCTGAACACAGAAGCAGCACTTTAAGAGAGATTTTTGCTATAGGGCACGTGCACTCACTGGAGAGACAGTGAGAAAGAGACAGTGAGAAAGAGACAGTGAGAAATCAGCCCCCAGGAGGGATGGCCATGCTGCAATACCTTTGTGTTTTGTTTGAGAGGTTTTTTGCTATAAGGCGCGTGCACTCGCCAGAGAGAGACAGAGAGACAGACAAGAAAGCACCCCCCCAGGGGGATGGTCACCCTGCAATCCCTTCTCCTCCATTCTCCTCTGGGGACCTTGGGCATGCACACATACGCACCCGGCGTGAGTTTTAAGCCACCAGGTCTGGGACATGAACCACGGTCGACTACATGGGAGTCTAGAGACATAGCCATTACGCTAACTGCTGGTCCCACCTTTGTGTGTTTTAAGTTCACCCAGCATGAGTTTTAAGCTGCCCAGTCCAAGACGTGAACCATGGTCAGCTATGTGAGAGTCCAGCGACGTAACTGTTACACCACCTACTGGTCCTGCAGAAGCGGCACTTGTAAAGTGGGTCATGTGGGTGAGCTCCGAAGCACCATGTGAGCAGACCTGAAGGAGAGGCACTGAGCCATGCAGGCATTTGAGGAAGAACATTCCAGGATCACCCTCTGCACACACCCAGGGCCCTACACAGGGGTAGCCCCTGAAGTGCAGCAAGAATGGGGGCAGCCATGCTTAGGGAAGACTCCAGCAGGGAGACTGGGATCTGGGACTCCCCTTCCAGTTAGGGGTCCTGGGGTTGGGGAGTGGAAGCCTGGGAGAGGAGGGTGCCCTATCTCCGTGTTCTCTGCTGTACCCTGCTCCCTGGGACTTGTCACTGACAGGGAGTGTGGAGAGTCACATGCACCAAAATGGCTGACATGACCTTCGTACAAGGACCTTCAAGTATCCCTGTTCCGGGAGTAGACAATGCACCCTGAGACTTCCTCATTCAGGCAGGTCCTCAGTCAGGTCCGCGACAATTCTCGAATGTTTGTTCTCTGGCCCTCAATAAACAAGTGACTGCATTCCATCTTGAGCTGTGACACTGTGTCGCTCCTGTGCTGTGACGCTGCGCCGGTTCCAGACCTCCGCTCTCTCACTCAGGCACCCTGCTCGATTGTCCTGCAGGCCGGGACAAGGGAGGACTCAGGGCAATGCCTCCCTGCTGTGCAGAGCACTTCACCTCACATCGGCAACGCTCTGATCTGGCTGCAAGAAGGGAAAGGGCCAACCCCAGACTTAGGACCAGACCTAGGCCCTTCCCTGACACCCAATCACTTCCCAACGATCCTGCCCTTCAAGGCCAATTGGATTAAAATGTTCTCTGTGCTTCACAATACAGCCAAGTCCTGATACGTGAAATTCTGGGAGACACACTGAAACCATAGCAGACACCCCACACAGTAAGCCCATTCTCCACACAGGTCTGTGTTGTAGCTTGTGTTCTGGTCTCATGGGCTTAGATAGTAATCATTTTATTGCCTAATATTTGGAGACTTTTCTTATTTTTTAAAAACAATTTATTATTTCATTTTTTAAATTATTTCTTCCTAATTTACTATAGTGCTCATGGGGAAAGGGGGCTTGCAGCGAGAAAACAAGTACCGCCAGGTCCAGGACTCAAACCATGGTCAGCAATGAGGAAGTCCAGTGCCTAAGTACCATGCCACTTGCTGACCCCTGGAGAAAAATTTCACGCTCCAGTAGGAAGTTTTACTGGGACCAGCAGTTAGCGTAATAGCTATGTCGCTGGACTCCCATGTGGTCGACTGCGGTTCGAGTCCCAGACTTGGTGGCTAAAACTCACACCGGGTACGTGTGCGTGCGTGCCCAAGATCCCAAGAGGAGAATGGAGGAGAAGGGATTGCGGCGTGGCCATCCCCCTTGGGGGGGGGGTGATTTCTCGCTTTCTGTCTGTCTCTTTCTGGCAAGCACACGCCCAATAGCAAAAACCTCTCCAAAGAAAAGTTTTACTGACTAAACTCTCCAGAACAGGCAAGAGAAAAACGTTAGCAGAGCAAGGATTCACACGTATGTCCCTTTCACATGGAATGTTCTCCTGGTCCTGCTGCCTTTCCACGTCCCTGGGCCTGGGGCAAGGCAGACCCCCTTGGGCCACGAGAGAACCATATGGAAACACCTTCCTCCACCCTCCCCCCAGCCCTACAGCTTCTGCTCTGGCTTGTACCCATTCTCCCTCCCCGCCCTGTGGCCCCCAGGACCAGCTGGCTCCAGGGGGAAGTGAGCCATTATTGCCTGGAGAGTAGAAAAGTTCAGAGCCTGGGACCGGGACTGGACAGCAGAAATGAAGGTTGGAGCAGAAGGGACTTCCAAAAGGGGTCAGATGTGAGTAATGAATGTGACTGAGGACATCCCTGGCACCTCTACTTAGGAGTGAGAGGGGCCCTATGTCCGAGGATAGGGAGCAAGGACAGGGCCTGACGGAGACTCCTGCAACCTCATCTGGTCCCACCAACCCAACCCCATGTCTCAGGTCACCGAGGGGCCTCGAGGCCCAGGTGCTCCCCACACAGGTGTATCTTAGCTCTTCTCTGGGCAAAACCCCAGCTGGTTTGCAGAGAAGTGGCTCAGATGGTCTCACGACCGCAAGTCCAAGCAGTAAACTGGGCAGCAGCTGTCCAACTTCGGGAAGTCCTGCCAGCCAAGTCATGTTTTTCAGACGATCTTCCTTACCCCAGAGGGTCAAAACTGAAACCATCCACTCTCTTGAGCCACCTCTGCCCAAAGGGTTGGGACTTCACTCCCAGCAGGATGTGCCTTCGGAGCCCCTTGCAGGAAGCACACGTGTACACGACTCACACAGGCAGTGTGAGCACAGGGCCAAGGCAGGGACGGAGGCCTGTACTGGTGTCACCTGTCAGCCAAGGTTACGAGCTACAAAGGTGCTCTGACCAGAGACGGAAAAGCCCTACAACGTGAAAGGCTCCACAGGGATAAGAAACAGTCGTCCTGGACCAGGAAGAGAGGACCGCGAAAGGAGAAATCAGTCCTTGAGCCATATCAGGGTAAGATGTGAAGTCGGGTGGACCTAGGAGCGAGCCCTCCAGCCTCCCATCAGCAAGCTGTGGGGCCTCGAGCACACCGAGTCCCCAGGAAGGCCCCACGGACACTGAGTGCTGAGACCGTGGGAGCCGCTCTCCTCACCTGCAGCCAGTGAAGCACCCCTTCCCAGAGTGGAGGGAACATGGGGAACAGACACAGCGCCCTGGGCAGGCGCCTGCGTCCTGAATCAAGTTCTGCCTGAATGACAGGAACTTTTCCATCAAGGGCAGTTGTTCCTGGACTCTGGGGCCAGGCTGAGAGGTGGGGGCACAGCGGGCAGGGGCGGGGGCCTGGGCAGAGCCGGGCACTGAAGCGAGGCCAAGGCCTGGACGGAACCAGTTCCTGGTGGCCGCTGGGCAGCTCAGACAGCTCCCAGCCTCACCGCCATGGCGACGCCTCTGTCCTGGCTCTCCCGGTGCTGTCGCCACCTCCTGTCCTCCTGGTCCCTGGCTCCCCGGAGCTCCCGGGGCTGCTCCCAGAACCCCAAGGCAAGCACAGAGGAGCAGACCAACTTCACGGACAGTGGGAAGATGAGGTCGCCCCCCAGGGTAAGTAGGAGCCCCCCAGGGTAAGGACAGAAGGGTGGAGGGCAAGAGAGAACTGTGAGGGCAGGGGGAGATAAATCCCCTCAGTCCCCTCTTGCACTCCCCACCCCACCGAGGCCTGTCCTCAGGGCTCCCTCTCCCCACCCAACCTCCCTGCCTCCCAAGCAGCAGTCCACAAGTCCTTGAGCAGCAGTTCCCCCCCCACCACTGTTAATTATTTATTAGGGAGGGACAACCAGTCCTCCCTGTGACCCTACATCCTGCCCGAGGAGCCCAGGTGCAGCTCCCGGGCCGGGAGCCTCTCCACCCCACGGCCTGTGCCCACAGGGACGACCCTGGCTTCTCCAACAGGGGCCTTCAGCTAATGGGGTCAACAGCGAGGAGGGTGGCTTCAAGTCCAGCCACAGCCCCCCACCCCCCGGCCTCTGAGGGCCTCAACTCCCTCCCTGGCTGATGCTCCCTCACCCCTGCACAGGGCCCCCCGTTCCAGCGCACAGCGGAGCTGGCCCAGGCTGAGGAGCTGCTGGAGCAGCAGCTGGAGCTGTACCAGGCCCTGCTGGAAGGCCAGGAGGGCGCCTGGGAGGCCCAGGCCCTGGTGCTCAAGATCCAGAAGCTGAAGGAGCTGATGAGGCGGCACAGGGAGAGCCTCGGCGACGCCTAGCTCCCCACGGCCCCCCTTTGTCCTCCCCTCCTGACGCCTAGCTCCCCACGGACCCCCTTTGTCCTCTGCCCCGCTCCCCACGGCCCCCCTTTGTCCTCCCCTCCGCCCCCAGGAGCCTTCCCTGGACACACTCCAGCCTTCCCCAGGCCCCAGGCCCCAGGAGACCTAGGCAGGGCCGGCACTTGGAAGCCGCTGGGAGCCACGGCCTCTGCAGTGCAGCCCCAGCCCCGTGACCCCACAGCAGGACAGGGCCTCACAGGGACCTCCCGGGTCACTCCGTAACACGACCTGACCCGCCACAATAAAGGGGCGGAGCACAGACACCACAGACCCGCGTTTCATTTCTAGTTTTGTTAAAAAAGCTCTGACAAATCGGGAAATGGGACTGAGGGGTGGTGATGCACAAGGAGGCAGCCGGGTGGGGCCGTCGGGGCAGGTGGCAGTAGTGTCTCCTTCACCCCACGCCTGGTCCTCTTCGGAGGGGACAGACTGTCAGCATTCCAGAAGGGGCGGGTCCTCTACCGTGTCTGCTCAACTGAGGAGGAAACACGGCACCGTCAGAACAAGGCATGAAAGCGAACACGGGCAGACACGCACGCAGACGCGGGGCTGTGCGGGGGAGGACAGACGTGGGGTGCGACAGAGATGATCTGATGAGAGACCCCACAGAGAGGACGACGCCACAGCCCACGTGGCCTCAGAGACCAGGGGCATGAGTTGGCCGAGGGCCTGTACACCAGGCCCTCCTGACACAGTGGGACTGGGGACGCGGGTGGAGCCTGACACTCACTGTAGGAGGAGATGTCGATCTCGTCGGGCAGCTCGCTGATGTTGACCTCGAAGCGATCCTGCATGTCATTGAGGATCTTGGCGTCGTTCTCATCCGACACGAACGTGATGGCCAAGCCCTTGGTGCCAAACCGGCCCGCTCTGGCCACCTGCAAGGAGATGGAGGGGAGCAATGAAGGACTCAGAGGAGGGAAGGCAGCCAGGGGGAGGGACGAAGATACATGGTGTGAAAAAATACAGAAGAGGGACCAGCAGTTAGCGTAATGGCTACATTGCTGAACTCCCATGTAGTCGACCATGGTTCAAGTCCTGGACCTGGTGGCTTAAACTCATGCCATGCACGTGTGCGAAGATACACATAGATAAGGAGATGGGGGCCAGTCAGTGGCACAGTGATTAAGACTCCTGGACTTGGCGGCTTGAGAAAGACACAGGACAAGTGTCTGTGTCCAAACTCCCGAAAGGGGATGAATTGAGAGACTGTGATGTGCCCATGCCCCACGAGGGGTGCTTTCTCACTTTCCCCATCTCTCTTCTTCAGCAAGCACACACACCATCTGGCAAATCTGACATAAAAAAGGGGGAGGAAGGTGGCATGGTGGTTAAAGCTCTGGACTCCCACATGGCCGACTGTGGTTAGAGTCTTGGACTGATGGCTTGCTTTCCTTTTCCCTTTCGGTCTCTCTGGTCAAATTAAATAATAAAAAAGGGAGGGAAGAGGTTTTTGCTATAGGGCACATGCGCTCGCCAGACAGACAGAGACAGAGAGATAGAAAGCGAGAAATCACCCCCTAGTGTGGATGGCCACGCCGCAATCCCTTCTCCGTTCTCCTCTCAGGATCTTGGGCACGCACGCACACACACCCAGCACGAGTTTAAGCCACTGGGTCTGGGACTCGAACCACAGTTGACTACATGGGAGTCCAGCAACACAGCCATTAGGCCAACTGCTGGTTCCCCCAAAAAAAACCTTCTTTTAAAAAATAAAGGAAAGGGGGTGGGAAAGTAGAATGCCCTCCTGGTGTAGGACTCACCCTATGCAGGTATGTGTCAGAATCTTCAGGCATGTCGTAGTTAAAGGCAATGTTCACTCGCTCAATGTCCATGCCTCGGCCAAACAGGTTGGTAGCTACAAGAATTCTTCGTTGAAAGTCTTTAAACTGCTGATACCGAGAAAGCCTTTGTGATAAAGGAAATTACGAAATTGTTGAGATTCCCTTTCTACAATTATCTCTTTTCCTCTCTAGGTCACAAAACATCTCCATCTCACCTCTCCTCCTGGGGCATCCCACGGTGGATGGCAATAGCTGGGAAGTTCTGCTCCACCAGAAGCTGGGCCAGAGCAATGCACCGCTGCACAGACTTCACAAAGATCACCACCTGGGGGCGACGTGGGGTGAGTGGGGCCGTGGGTCACAGCGCGTGAGAAAGGCCATGCTGGAGTTTCCAACAAGTACTCTCTTCTCAGCAATTCCCTTTAATCCCTTATTTCCTACCACATATTTACTCTCCTCCTCTAAATGTAATGTAGCCTTTCTCTCAGCTGATTTTACCAGTAACCTAGCCGGAGAAGGCGGAGAAGGTGCGGAGAACAGTAACTAAGTTGCCCAACATGCTAGATGATAAAGATAAAACTCACTCCTGACTATGTGAAAATTAAACCTAAGCTCTGGAAAGACCAGGAATGATATTCCTACTCACAAAATATTAAACCTAATTGTTTTTAGTACAAATAGATCGCATGACTGTTTAATCCATGCCATGTGTCTTCTCAGTAAGTAGTACAATAAACAGACTTAAGAATCCTAACATGCCCAAAGTAGTGCAAGATCTTTTTTTTTCGTGGAGAGGTTTTCTCTATAGGGCACGTGCGCTCACCAGACAGACAGAGAGAGACAGAGAGACAGAAAGCGAGAAATCACCCCCCAGAGGGGATGGTCACGCCGTGATCCCTTCTCCTCTCGGGATCTTGGGCACGCACGCACACACGCCCGGCGTGAGTTTTAAGCCACCGGGTCCGAGACACGAACCGCGGTCGACTATGTGGGAGTCCAGCGACATAGCCATTACGCTAACTGCTGGTTCCCAATAGTGCAAGATCTTCATAAACTTTATTAAAGCCCTTCTCAGGTTTTAATTTTACTAAATATTTTATTTTATCCATGTCAGCCATGGCACAGAAAAGCACAGAACTTATCCATGTCAGCCATGGCACAGAAAAGCACCCCCCAAAAAGACATTTCTGACCTAAAAGAAATTTATTTGGAGAGATTTTTGCTATAGGGTTCGTGCACTCACCAAAGAGACAGAGAGAAAGCAAAAAATCACCACCACCACCACCACCCCCAGGGAGAATGGCCATACCACAATCCCTTCTCCACTCTCCCTACCCGCATCCCGTCTCCACTCTCCTCTTGGGATTTTGGCCATGCACATATACGTCCCCGGCATGAGTTTTAAGCCATCGGGTCTGGGACTCGAACCGCAGTCAACTTATGTGGGAGTCCAGTGACGTAACCATTACAACATCTGCTGGTCCCAAGAAATTTCTGTAATGTGCCAGCCAGAAGGAGAGGGTATGGTCATGCCACAATCTCTTCTCTTTTTCTCCACCCTATTGTGATTTGGAGCATGAATATGCATGCACACGGCCCCACACACACAAAGGCTTGTTTTCCAAGCTGTTGGGGCCAGAATTTGAACTGTGCAACCAGCCATGTGGGATCCAGCAATCTTAGCCACTAGGCCACAGAGACAGCCCCTAAAAAAACATTTTAGGAGAATTTTCCCACCATTTTCTTCCACATCACATACGTGTTTCCTCAATAAAAAAGTACTTAAAACACAGGCTTCCGCTACAGCCAAAGGTGCATCCAATGCTCATCTCCCTACTGGATCTTGAACAGCTGACCTGGTTGAACTCAAGGACATCCAGAAGGTCAAAGAGCTTCCGGTTCTTCTCGTTGTCCTTCAGTTTCACGTAGTACTGCTGCAATCCATGCAGCGTCAACTTCGTCTCATCATCCACGAAGATCTCCATTGGCTGGGGGGGAGGAAGGGGGTAGGGAACGGGAGGAGGGCAGAGTGGGGGGGAAAAACCTGGGGGGGTGGAGGAAGTTGATCTCCAATACACCCCATGGGGGGGATGGGGAGAAGTGAGAAGACTGAAAACCCAACCCCACCCCCAAAAATTCCCTTATTTTACTGTGGTCTCTTTTGCATTAGATCTAATTGTCTTCCTCACGGAGGAGTTTTAAAACTGCCCAACTGAAGAATCTCATGGAAAAGGAACTTCACAAAGGTAAAGGACTGGAGAGACCACCCAATGGCAAGATGCCATTACCTCAAATGGAGGTGGTGGACAGAAAATGGGATGTGATTCTCAAAGACAGAACATGATCCAAACACCTGGGAAATAATGGGAAACAGTGACCCAAGGTCAGAGTAACTCCATCAGAGCTGGTTGTAAGAACATGAGGGAACAAGGACTGCTCCATTTACATTCTTTCCCCTAAGAGTCTTAGGCACAGAAGGAAAGTGATGTCTTTAAGACCTGAATGTGACAAAGGACATAGTCAAAATGCCATTTAAGAAGCCGAGATTACTCAGGATGAGTAAAACTTGCTTCCGTCAACAGGGAATACTTGTGGATGAGACAATCTCTGAACTAAGAGTCAGACCACCCCCAGCTCACATGGCAGGTATCGATACACAGGGCTACAGAACACACAGAGCAGCAGATGCGTTCATCCTCAAAATAAAAAAACCACCCATGAAGGGGAGGAAGTAGCACTGAAAGTGACAGAAAAGGACCAAGGAAGTCCCAAAGCCTAACTTTCCTATCACTCTTCATACTGTATTTGGGAACACAGGCTGCAAGATGGAAAGGAGGTGTGTGTATGTACTTCCCTCCCTCTCCAGGGAAAGCTCAGACGCCCAACCCCAGAAGGTAGGCTAACGAGGCAAGCTTTCTAAAAAGCAGCTCCACGCCTCGTTCAAATGTTAGCTGTCGCTCCAGGTCCAAATAAAGACAAGAGCCACTCCGTGGACAGGAGCACTGCTCACACGACGGCCGCCTGGCCCCGAGCCCTAGCACCCACCTGGTTACAGCCAAGTGGAGCTCTCCACTTTACCCTTCCAACATCCCTCTCCTTTGAGTATTAAAAAAAAAAGGTTTTAAAGAAAAAAAATCTACCACCCCATTCAGGATACCCCTCCCCCAACATATATGGGGGTAAACAGGGCATGGCACGCGTTGGGTTCAGGAAAAAAACCGGGAACGGAAAAAGAGGCTGGTCTGGGCCTCAGCTTCCTGGTCGGGTTTCCCCGCGGCCTCCGCTGCCGCCATCCACCGCCGGGTGCCGTCCGCATTCCCTCGCCGCGCCACGGTGCTTCTCTGCTGCCGGCTCACATCAACCGAGGTTCCGGATGGGTGCGAGGAGGTATGGGCAGGAAGGAGTAGGGAATCGGGGACTGAGGTGCCAAAGGCCCCCAACCCCGGAGGTGGGGAGGGGGTGGATTCATTTGCGCTGTTGGCTCTTCTTGTGGACATGCCCTGCCATCTGTCTGTCCCTCTCTTGCTCTCCTGCCACCGGGAGGTATGAGTTTTGGTGAGCAGAAGGCTCCAGTTGGATGCTTGATGCCACCTTGAGGGTGCGTGGCTGTAGGGGGTATGTAGGAGACGATGGGTGGGTGGTAGGGCAGAAAATCCTGCCCTCCCCCAAAAGGGAGAAGAGGTTCAAAAATGCCGTGATTTCAAAAAAAAAAGTCGAACACTACCCGCTCTCACGTTAGCCCGACCAAGTCTTCCGGAGTTTCCCTGGCACCCGCGCAGACCCTAACGCTAGCTGTCTCTGCCTCTGTGTGTTTCTTCAAGGAGCCATCACTCCCAGATGGCCGCAGGCCCCCTTCTTGACGCTTGAACGACAAGGGAGTCTGGAGGAGGAGGGCGAGGAAGGGGAGGAGGCAGCGGGCGGGGAGTGGAGGGAGAGAAGGTAGAAGGGTATTTACATCTTGCATGAACTTGCGGCAGACTGGACGAATCTCTTTGCTCAAGGTAGCACTGAACATCATGACCTGCTTCTCATGGGGGGTCATGCGAAAAATTTCCTGGACATCCCGACGCATGTCTGTAAGAAAAAAAAAATCACAGACAAAAATAAGCAGCTATAAAAACAGATCAGAAGTAGACTTTCCACAGTAAGGTGAAGATGGCTGAAAATGGGGTAAACAAGGGAGTCACTTCAGAAAAAGATGACCTGAGGTATCTCTCTAGTCAATTACCTCCAACCACTTTAAAATCAAATCCATAGTAAAAATATTAATAGAAAGATCAACAAATCTGCACTAACAATTGGGGATAAGGCTCCAGCTTTGTTTTAACCAAGCAAGAAATATGAAATCCCCAAGTCTGTAATTATGCAATAAAGATAAAACCACTGCAGAGGTTTATAAGGATAAGGGCTTTTTAAAATGTATTATAAGGGACCAGCAGTTAGCGTATGGCTATGTTGTTGGACTCCCATGTAGCTGACCGTGGTTCGAGTCCCAGACCTGGTGGCTTAAAACTCACGCCGGGTGCGTGTACGTGTGTGCCCAAGATCCCAAGAGGAGAATGGAGAAGGGACTGCAGCATGGCCATCCCTCCTGGGGGGTGATTTCTCGCTTTCTGGCTCTCTGTCTGTCTGACAAGCACATGCGCCTTATGACAAAAACCTCTCCAAAAAATAAATTTAAAAAATAATAAAATGCATTACGAGCCCTTTTCCCAATTCCTTTCTCACCTAGCCTCAGCCTCCAGCAATATACAAATACGGGGCACTTACTGGCATCTGACATCCAAGTCCATCCTATGCCTCCCTGGACACACTCAGGCAGTATGACACCCGACCTGAGCCCTCCTTAGCGCATGCCATCTACGGTGATCACTTGGAATGACCTCTCTGGGCCTATGTCCATCCCCCCTCTCCTAAACACCAAAATTCCGTTCTTACAATCTTTTATTATCCCCACTTAGCACACTAGAATACTGCACTATAAAAATTTTCCAGATTCTCCACATTAATTCTGGAACTCAAGCTCTGAAAGCTTTCCAGCTTTAGAACGCGATCACACATGCTGTGCTGGGCATGGGAGGAGAGAAGACTCTCCTCAGGCTGACCTCTCCTCTACGACACCAGGACAGCAGTCTATCGAGAGAAGGGTGGTGGTGACAACTTGTGTCTAAGATTATCAGTCTCCCACTCTCAAATATAAAGGAACACCTATCATAGAAAAGAAAAAACAACACCCCCATCACCAAGGTCACTGAAAAACACAGCAGAAGGACAGCTGGGTGACAGAGTGGTAATGCGCTGCTCAAGTAAAGCTGGGTCCACAGGGAGACGACAGGTTTGGTTCCCCAGTCGCCCGGTACACACGAGGCAACTGTACCCATAATCCCAGAGGCCAGGCAGGGTGGAAATCACGGCATGAGACCCTGTTGAGGGTATTTTTCCCTCCCCCCAACTTATTAAAGAAAAGGAAAAAAAAATCAAGCAGTGTTGTAACAACCAGGGAGCCCAGAGCCATCAGTCATGGGTGATAGATGAGGAGTCGTCCTTGCACAGAAGTGCTCCTGTACCAAATAAACATCATTTGGCTCAAAGGTAACTGCCCAGACAACAGCCCAGGCACGGCACTGCCACTCACCGAGCTGTTCAAGCATCTTATCACACTCATCCAAGATAAAGTGTTTGATGTGTTTGAGATTGAGGCTCTTATTTCGAGCTAGGGCGAGGATCCGGCCGGGAGTCCCCACGACGATATGCGGGCAGTTCTTCTTCAGCACCTCTTCATCCTTCTTGATGGACAGACCACCAAAAAATACTGCAACCTGCCACGCCAGGAGAAAAAAGTATCTCACAAGAAAGGAAAGGTTCCAATCTTCCCAGAGTTTCCAGCTCAATCTAAACCAATCCTTGGGACACATCAGAACTAAGAGGAACTTTAGAGGTCAACTCACCTAAAATTCTAACGTCCGCCAAACACTGAGGTTAAGAAACAAGTGCCTTATCCAAGGTCCCAAAATCACATCACTAGTCAAGGAGTGAAGACTAGCATTCGGTTGTCTTGACTTTTTTTAACCATTTTTCTTCCCATGACTCTAGGGCCAGACTTCATTTCAAGAATAAGGACTGGGGGGAACCAGCAGTTAGCGTAATGGCTATGTCGCTGGACTCCCACGTAGTCGACCGCGGTTCGTGTCCCGGACCCGGTGGCTTAAAACTCACGCCGGGCGCGTGTGCGTGCATGTGCGTTCGTGCCCAAGATCCCGAGAGGAGAATGGAGGAGAAGGGATTGCGGTGTGACCATCCCCCCTGGGGGGTGATTTCTCGCTTTCTGTCTCTATGTCTCTCTCTGTCTGTCTGGCAAGCGCACGCGCCCTACAGTGAAAATCTCTCCAAAAAAAAAAAAAAAGAATAAGGACTGGGGACCAACTGATGGTGTAATAGTGACATTGCTGGACTCCCACACGGTCGACCATGGTTCAAGTCCTAGACCTGGCGGCTTAAAACTCATGTCAGAAGTGTGTGCGTGCATGCCCAAAATCCCGAGAGAAGAATGGAAGAAAAGGGACTATGGTGTGGCCATCCATCTAGGGGGTGATTTCTCACTTTTTGTATCTCAGTCTGTCTCTCCAGTGAGTGCATACACCCTACAGTAAAACTCTCTTAAAAATAAATAAATAAATAAATAAATAAATAAATAAGGACTGAAATATGGAACAGCCCAGCCACCTAGTGGTTGAGAGCCTGATCCCACACAACCCACACAGCCAACTATGACATGAATCCTGGCCCAAGAAGAGTGAGAAACACACTGGAGGCATGCATGTGTGAGTCCAGATCCCAACAGGAGGGAGACAGAGAGGAATTACAGCATGAACACATCCACTGAAGAATGCATTCTCCCTCTCCAAGCAAGTGTGCATGCCCTCTGACAATTAAAAAAATACAGAGCCTGGGCTGGCAGGTAGTTAGGGGCACTGGACTCCCCGATGGCCAACCGTGGTTCAAGTCCCGGACCTAGCAGTTTGCTTTCTCACTTTCCCTCTCTCTCCCTCTCCCATTCCCACTCTGACCCTCGCTGGTCAAATTAAAGTAAGTAAATAGTTAAGTAAAATAATTCTTAAAAAATAAATAAATAAATACAGAGTCAGCTCCACAGTCTAGAACAGGGATCCCCAACCAGTGGCAGTTCGTGGCCTGAGAGTGCCAAGCCAGTCTGGCCTACACACTGCGGAGCAGGGGGTGGGTAGCAGGTTAATGCTTGAGGCTTCACCTGTGTTTACAACCACTCCTCATGGCTCACACTGCCAAATGGGCTCCACCTCCTGTAAGACTTTTCCAGATTCTCCACATTAATTCTGGAACTCAAGCTCTGAAAGCTTTCCAGCTTTAGAACGCGATCACACATGCTGTGCTGGGCATGGGAGGAGAGAAGACTCTCCTCAGGCTGACCTCTCCTCTACGACACCAGGACAGCAGTCTATCGAGAGAAGGGTGGTGGTGACAACTTGTGTCTAAGATTATCAGTCTCCCACTCTCAAATATAAAGGAACACCTATCATAGAAAAGAAAAACAACACCCCCATCACCAAGGTCACTGAAAAACACAGCAGAAGGACAGCTGGGTGACAGAGTGGTAATGCGCTGCTCAAGTAAAGCTGGGTCCACAGGGAGACGACAGGTTTGGTTCCCCAGTCGCCCGGTACACACGAGGCAACTGTACCCATAATCCCAGAAGCCAGGCAGGGTGGAAATCATGGCATGACACCCTGTTGAGGGTATTTTTTCGCTCCCCCCAACTTATTAAAGAAAAGGAAAAAAAAAAAATCAAGCAGTGTTGTAACAACCAGGGAGCCCAGAGCCATCAGTCATGGGTGATAGATGAGGAGTCGTCCTTGCACAGAAGTGCTCCTGTACCAAATAAACATCATTTGGCTCAAAGGCAGTAGAACTGGATTCTCATGGGAGCACAAGCCCGACTGGTGATGGCTTCACCATACACTGCAATGTGGTAGTGGTGGGAATGGGGTGCATGGTGCATATGGGACACTTGGGCCATCCCAGGACCAGGCCTGCCACCCGTGGTCCATGGAGCAATTCTCTCCCATGAGGCCAGTCCCTGGTGCCAAGAAAGCTGGGGACTGCTAGTAGTTAAAGGAGATGGATCCCATGTAGCAGACTGAGTTTATCACAGCCCTGGAAGCTTCAAAAACACACTAGACGTGGGGGTCGGCAGGTGGCACAGTGCTGAAGGCACTGGACTCATGTAGCAGACTGTGGTTTGAGTCTGAGACCCAGTGGCTTGAAATTCATTACCAGGCACATGTGCATACATGCCCAAGATCCTGAGAGAAGAATGGAGAAGGGTGGATCGTGGCATGGCTATCGCCCCCGTGAGGTGATTTCTCACTTTCTCTGTCTCTGTTTCTGGGGAGCACACACTCCCTATAGCAAAAATCTCTCTCTAAAACAAAACAAAACACACCAGGCATGTGTGTGTACCTGCCCAAAATCTCGAGAGAGTGGAAAAATGGAGGAGAATGTTTGTCTCTGGTGAGCTCATGCACCCTCTGGCAATTAAAAAAAATAAATAAATAAAGGAAAGGAAAAAAGACAACAAGAAGTTACCACTGTCAAGAACCCCAAAAGGGGACCAGCAGTTAGCGTAATGGCTGTGTCGCTGGACTCCCCCGTAGTCAACCGCAGTTCGAGTCACAGACCGGGTGGCTTAAACTCACGCCGGGTGCGTGTGCGTGCGTGCCCAAGATCCCGAGAGGAGAATGGAGGAGAAGGGATTGCGGCGTGGCCATCCCCCCTGGGGGGTGATTTCTCACTTTCTATCTCTCTGTCTCTCTCTGTCTGGCGGGCACATGTGCCCTATAGCAAAAACCTCTCCGAAAAAAAAGAAGAGATATTTGGGGACTAGCAGTTAGGGTAATGGCTATGTTGCTGGACTCCCATGTAGTCGACCGTGGTTCGTGTCCCGGACCCGGTGGTTTAAAACTCACGCCGGGCGCACACCCCGCCAGGCGCATGTGCATGCGTGCCCAAGATCCTGAGAAGAGAATGGAGGAGAAGGAACTGCGGGGTGACCATCCCCCCTGGGGGGTGATTTCTTGCTTTCTGTCTCTATGTTTCTCTCTCTCTCTCTGGCAAGTGCACTCACCCTGTAGCGAAAACCTCTCAAAAAAAAAAAAAGAACCACAAAAAGCACATGAAACATCAAGTTTTCCTAACTGAACTGAGATTTTAAACACTTTAACACAACCTTATACTGACTTACACCTTATATTGACTCATCCTAAGTATGTTAAAAGCACACTAAACCCACAGCAAAACTGTCTTTTATGTTCAAAGCGGAGGAGAACAATCAAGGAATCATAGTCACAGCTCTTAGTTCTACTGTAACTCTAAAATCACGGGCCACGGGTCACACACATTCGTGGTGAGACAGAAAGCACACCACCACCTACGAAGGATGCTTGCCAAAAAATGTTTACCCCAAATCAATTAAGCTTTCAAATACAAATTTCAGTTTATAGGAAATACCAAGAGGAAAGAGCAGGCTAAACAATGTAAGGGAATAGCCAGATAAATCCACTAGAACATTCTATAGAACTGTTCTACCCTCAACAAGTCACTGTAACAATTTTGAGTGAGAGTAAGGAAGGAAAGAATACATAATGATAATTTATATTTAATCCTGTCACCAAGAACATCCTCTTTTGAGAAGCAAAGGGATTGGTGAGTAGGACCTACAGACAGAAGGAACAAAATCCTAGCTCACTACTGAGCACAATAAATGTTTCCATAGTTGTAACAATGTAAATCATGTCCTGGTCTCCGACTCTCAGCATCAACCTACAGAAGCCGGCTGGGTGAGCTAACAAGGTAAAGCTACGGGCGCTGGTGATGTAAGAATAGGGGTTACAGGGCCAGGACAAAGATGTGCACATACACATACAGGTCCTATTTAAACAATTAAGATCAATACACCTGCGAAAACCAGGAGTAACAGCATACACAGCGAAACGTTTTGCTGTAAATCACAAAGACTTTAAGTTAGTAAACTGAGAAACAAACCTAATCCTTGGTTACACAGGCCCATTACAGGGAAAAAAAGTGATTATGGCTCAGAGGACCAGAGATGAGAGAACACAAATATTTGCACTGTATGGCCTTCTGGATTACTATTACTACTCTAGTTTTTAAGAAAATGTCATTTTAGGCCAATGACTACATTCATCTCTAGTTCCTTTTAAAATATAATAGAGAAGAAAATCTTAATCTGAACAGAACACCCAGCAGGAGTAAGAAGTCAGACATCAGTGCTCATCAAGCTCCCATCACCTAGGATCTTGCAAGAACATAGTTAGTAAATCTGGGGAGGACCTACATAACCTGCATTCCCAACAAGTTCCCCAATATTTCTGAACCACACCACATCAACATTAAGTAATGGACAACTCAGGCCAACTGTTACAGTCCTCAACATCTTTCAATTCTCTGAAATTCTGAAGAACCCTAAAAATTCACACACCATAACGGAGCTGTTTTAGCTACTCGAGTTTTTTCTTGCCACAACTCCAAAATTCTCAACCTATCAACCAAAACACAGCAAAATGACTTAAAGCCAGTGTAAAGAAGTAGCAAAAATAGGTGGTCCTACTGTAACCATCATCCACAGTCCAACCATGATATCTCCTGCTACGCAGGCCCATCTTTTAAGAGTTGTTTATTTAAGCTTATTATTCTTTTTAAGAATTATTTTACTTAACTTTATTTATTTATTTATTTTTAATTTGACCAGAGAGGGACAGAGCAAGAGAGAGGGGGAAAGTGCAACCAAGATGCCAGGTCCCAGATGCAAACTATGGTTGGCCATATGGGAGTCCAGTGCCCTTAACAACCATGCCACCTGTCGGACCATTCTTTTTATTTTAATTTGCTGTGGGGTATGAGCACTCACCAGATGAGAAAGCAAGAAAGAAAGCCACCAGGTCCAGACTCAAACCAGGTCAGCCATGTGGGAGTCCAACGCCTCAACCACACCACCTGCTGGACCCTATGCAGGCTTATTCATACTGTGTATTAACTAAGGCAAACTAGCACTTCTCCAAAATTAAATACAGCAAGCATCTCAGGTTAAAATTCATAACCAAACGAGTCCGACGTTTCAGTAAAATCTTTTTGTCACTCGCCAGAGGAAAGAAGAGAGAAAACACTACCCCAGTGGGGTATGATCAAGCCTCCTCCATTTTTCCTTCCTGTCAAGCATCTGAGCATACATACACAAGCACCTAGCGTGATTTCAATACGTGAGGCCACGATGAGAACCACGGTCAACCATGTGGGATCCAGCTTTCTACGCACAGCATTTAAGCACTGTGCTATAAGGCCAGCCCTTCAATAAAAAGTCTCTTATTCCCAAAGTCTGTGGGAACTTACTATCAGTTACATGTACTATGAGTGACATGTACAGATAAGTATTTAACACCTGCAGAAAGAGGCTGCTGAGCTGCAAGTTTCCAACACTTCACTCCCCACACACTCACTCTCCCAGACGTCTTACCCTGGCTTACCTTGACATTGGGCATGTATTTAGAGAAGCGCTCATATTCCTTGCTGATCTGAAAGGCCAGCTCCCTCGTATGACACATCACCAGCACAGACACCTTGGCAAGGACAGGAACAGACATACACTAAGTATATCCCTTCCATCATTTCCTCTGGAAAAGTTATCATCAAAAAAGTACACCTCTCAGACCATAAACGACTTCAACTCTAAGATCTAAATCATTAACTTCATGCTCACTACAAAGCACTCCCCTCAGCTGTCAGAACTCTCCACCGCTGTCGGGGTGAGGTCATCTCAGCCAGAAGTGCTCATAGCTCTGAAAACATAGCATGTAGCTAGAAAAGAAATACCCTCTCTGCTTTAAATGTAAATGAGAAATTATGAAATAGAAAAAAGATGCTTAAAAATTTTAAATAAGGAAACTCTACTTTGGAAGTACAAAAGTATTAAAAAAACAACTATTTTACAACGTAATAAAGCACTATATCTAATACACACATAACTTCATATATTTCACTTTCTTCTACAATTAAATGGCTAAAGAATAAACACCCAAAAATAAAGAAAGAAAAAGAAACATCCTTCCCACGTATTACTAATCCAAATGTCCTCCCCAGCACTCTCCGCAAGTATACCTGTCCAGTAACTGGCTCCAGCTGCTGCAGTGTGGCCAGCACAAACACTGCTGTCTTTCCCATGCCCGACTTGGCCTGGCACAGGACGTCCATTCCCAGAATGGCCTGAGGGATGCATTCATGCTGGACTAGAAGAGGGATTGAAAAAAAGATAATTAGACTTAAGTCTCCAGGCCAATTCAGCACTTTTTCACCACACCAAAGCCATGTCTCCGTCACTCAAGTGTCAGAATATCTCCCTGATTCTTGTCAACTTCCAGAGCCTTTCTACCTCTGCCCCCTCGACCAAATTCACTCGACAATCAGGCCCTTCTAGTTGTTTCTAGCTCTAGCTCCCTCCAGGTGCAGGCTTTTCCAGCCCTGCGAGCATCTCTTACACCCCGACTCTAGTACTTAACTTTCCTTAACAGGCTGTGGCCGCTCTGAGTGCCTGCCACAGACCACTTCTACTTAGGTTGCCATGCCTTGGATCACACAACCCTACAACCTTGGACAAAATGAAGAAGTCGGTATCTGACCCAGATACCTGTAAACCAGTTACACAGTTTCCAGAGACCAGAGTTGGTCTGGAGCAACAGAGAGGTACTAAAAGTCTAACCAGGCCATTCCTGGAGACTTAATACTGGAAGTCAAAATGACAAAATTAAAAACAGACAAGAAGAGTCAGTCTACGAAAACAGCAGACCTCCACATTCTTTTGAATCACTAGAACTTTTGAGCTACCACTCAGCCTATATAAGCCTCTTCTCCTGAAATAGTTTTTGATACTGTATTTCCCAATCGCTCCTAAACATAAACCTTTACCACCTGAGAAACCACGGACACATCTCGCCTCGTATCCTTAAAGACTCTAATGAGGGATCCCAGCCCAACAAAACATTTACCTTCTGATGGATGCTCAAAGCCACAGTCAACAATGGCCCGGAGCAACTCTGGCTTGAGCAGGAAGTCACGAAAGCCAGAGCTGTGGATGGAGACATAGGAACCCTTGACATCCTTCTTAGCAGGGGCCTCAGCCCCATCTCCCCCAGCTGCTGTCTCCACCTCATCATCTTCATAATCCAAGAGCTCATTGTCCACATCGTTCTCTGCCATAACTAGGCCGGCAGGGGGAGGAGGGGAGGGGCGTCTAGATGGGTTCACACAGAACAGGTGAAAACAAGGGGGAAGAGTGGGGCTTGAGGAACAGCAGAGGAAAACAAAGACACTAGTTTTTGACAGAAGAGCTACAAAACAAAACAAACAAACAAAAAAACAAGATTATCAGTCTGGAGCAGAGTTTTTACCACCGCTTTTCTATGCCCACACCCTTCCCACTTTCCCTTGAGCTGTGGAACCTTTACTGGGTGGGAGAAGGATAACTAACACAAAGCAAAAACAAAGGGCAAGCACTACAGAGATCGCGGGAAAGTGGTCCCAGGGGAAGTGGGTTAACACGAAAGTCCCCAACAAAACTGGGGTCAAAGGGCCCGTAAGGAAGAGGGAAGAAAAAGGATAAGGAAAAGCAGAACCTGACTAACGACTGAGGGGCGTGGAAGGGCCGTGACAGGAGACAGCACTGCCTCCTGCCATCTCACGTGCAGGCAGCCATCAGTCAAGGGTGATAGATTAAGGTCATCCCTGCGCAGAGCGCTCACTTCTCAGTGCAAACATCATGTGGCTGCCGTGCACCTCCCACAGCTCCCCAGTCTCCCGCTCCTCAGTGCGCCCCACCCGATGCTTAAGGGGTAGCGTAAAAAATAAAAAAAAAAGGTTCGGCCACAAGAAAATTCTCCCCTCCATCCTACAGTGAGTAAAATATTATACAAACTAGCAGTACAAAGGACCCCCGTTCTGCTTTAACATAAACTTTACCAAGGGGTCTCACACCATCGCCGAGTTACTCAAGTGAGACTCCTTTCCGAGAAACAGTGATATCACTCGTAACACGTGGGAAGAACGCCAAAATAACGGTGCGCAAGTCGAGGTGAGAAAAATCGAACCGGGCCCCAAAGCCGGCTCTTGCCTCCCAGTCCCATCGCGGCCCCAAAGGTGGCCCCGGGAAGAGAGAAAAGAAAAGAGCCCCGCCCTTCGCAAGTGCCCAGGACCACGAGACGCCGAGCACCGCCTCTAGTCGTCGCTAGGGCCTTCGGTAAGCGAGGTACCCACAGAAAAGCAGGGAGCAAAGGAACACAATGGCGCCGGAGCCACCATCTTGGATTGGGCCCCACCAGCTTCCTTGCCTCCCCCAAGGAGCTCCTCGCTCTAAAAGGGGATGCGAGCAATGGAAGTTAAGGACACAGTTGGGCCCAGCGAACTGACCACCACCTGCGAAGGAGGTATCAGGAGCCCATATGACAAGTTGGCTGCACAGAGACGAAGATGGAGGCGGATAATAGATAAGGCCGAACCTTACCTGAGCAGGAGAGCGCATATGGCGGCAACAACAGCAACGAAGGAGGGAATCTGCCTTCACTTCCGGTTCTCGGCTTCCCTCTCCCCGGCCTCCCGCCTTCGCGGCTGTCAGGGCGCAGGCGCAAAGGCCCGGAAGAGGGACCTTCCTCGGTTCTCTAACTCCGCGCGCCTCGGGGTTGCCTTTAGAAAATGCCTGTCTGAAATTTGTTTTCAAACCCACTCTAACGCCTCTGCTACTGCCAGTAATAAAAGGCATAAAGTAAACTAACATTTCCTCCTCCTGTTATCTTTATTCTCTCGTCCAACCCTTCTCCACGCCTCTCCTATCTTTGTTTAGGGTTCTGACACACAGGCCTTCTCTCTGGGCACCCTGGGTGGGCGCTCGAGGAAGCAGGTGGCAGGGGCTGCGAGTTCCCACGGGGTCCTTGGCCGGTAGTCAAGGTGACCTGTGGACCGCTGTGCAACGCCAGTGCCCCCTGAGGAGAGGGCGCTGCCTCTCCCCGGCCTCCCGCCTTCGCGGCTGTCAGGGCGCAGGCGCAAAGGCCCGGAAGAGGGACCTTCCTCGGTTCTCTAACTCCGCGCGCCTCGGGGTTGCCTTTAGAAAATGCCTGTCTGAAATTTGTTTTCAAACCCACTCTAACGCCTCTGCTACTGCCAGTAATAAAAGGCATAAAGTAAACTAACATTTCCTCCTCCTGTTATCTTTATTCTCTCGTCCAACCCTTCTCCACGCCTCTCCTATCTTTGTTTAGGGTTCTGACACACAGGCCTTCTCTCTGGGCACCCTGGGTGGGCGCTCGAGGAAGCAGGTGGCAGGGGCTGCGAGTTCCCACGGGGTCCTTGGCCGGTAGTCAAGGTGACCTGTGGACCGCTGTGCAACGCCAGTGCCCCCTGAGGAGAGGGCGCTGGCAGGTGTCAGGGAGTTGGAGGGAGCCGTCTCAGGGTCTAGCCCCAACCCGTTCCCAGCGTTGGGGTTGGTGAGCGGCGTGTGTCCATAATGACGTTGGCTGATGCCCTGGGGTTGGTGAGCAGGGGCTGCGACCCAGGAAGGTTTCTGAATCCAAGTGCGAGAGAGGGGGGTTCTGACCCAGGTGCGGAACGGTAGGGCTTTAGAAATGTACGGCATTCCCCGCCCCACCGCCCCAGTGTTCAGCCTGGAGTTTTTCCTGAATGAAACAAAGATGCTCTGGAAGTCAGAGCTGCTGGCTTCCGCTGATGTCCGACCATTTAACAACGTGTTTTTTGGGGTTTTTTTGGGGGGGGGTTTGTATTTTGGGTTTTTTGTTTGTTTTTGTTTTTGTTTGTGTGTGTGTGTGTTTGAGAGGTTTTTGCTATAGGGCGCGTGCGCTCCCCACAGAGAGACAGAGAGACAGAAAGCGAGAAATCACCCCCCAGGGGGGATGGTCACGCCGCAATCCCTTCTCCTCCATTCTCCTCCTGGGATCTTGGGCACGCACACACACGCGCCCGGAGGGAGTTTAAGTCACCGGTTCTGGGACTCATCATGGTCTACTACGTGGGAGTCCAGCGACATAGCCACTAAGCTAACTGCTGGTCTCCTGTTTAACAAAAGTTGACTACACGTTTGGCCCGTTCCCTGCCAGCGTTTTCGTGTTTAACACTAAGAGGGAGCTATCATTATTTCCATTTATAAAACAAGCAAACAGCTAAAGTGACATATCCAAAGTAATACACCAGTATGGTGACAGGCCACCAGCCTCTGATTCTTCACTGTGTCCTGCCCCCTACTTGAGAAATCTGGTCAATAGACTACCTTTGCTGATTTGGGGAAGTCACAGGGGTCATACAGTCTGGGTCACTTGCTGACAAAGGGAACCAGAAAAGTCGCAAAAGAGTTACAATCCAACTTGTAACATTTCTCCTCAGGCAATTTGCAAAGGTGGAATAGAAACACCTCCTGCTTGCCAGGGGCTTATAGCAAACATTATCCTATCACTACCAGGCAGCCTGTAGTCTTAGCTGAGAGGCTAAGGGAGCAGGATCCCGCACCGCCCACCGCAGTGTTCCACTGGCTGCTAACTGACCTGGCGTGTATATGGATGTGCCCCAAATCCTGACAGGATGAGGATAAGAAACAACCATGCCCCATTGTGGGGTGCTGTCTCCCTCTCCTACCTCTGTCTCAGGCAAGTACATGCACCCTCTGGCAATAAAAAATAAATACAGGCTAACTTACTGGCTTAAGTCCTTGGTGAAGCAGGCTTGTCTACTGTGGTGAAAACTGATTCAAGGATGAAGTTGTAGGACAGTCTTCCCAACTCTAACAATTTATTCAACACTATTGACTACCTACCCTTTTCTTTTGAAGAGATTTTTGCTATAGGGCACGTCCACTCCCAGACACAGTGAGAAATAACCCCCTGGGGGGGTGGTGGCGGGGCGGATGGCCACGCTGCAATCCCTTTTCCTCCATTCTCCTCTCGGGATCTTGTGCATGAACACATGTGCGCCTGGCATGAGTTTTAAGTTGCTGAGTGCAGGACTTGAACAGCGGTCAACTACGTGGGAGTCCAACGATGTAATCATTATGCCATCCGTTGGTCCCTTGCCTGCCTACCCTAATGCCAAGTGCTATCCTTGGTTCTTGGTACACAGCAGTGTACAGTCCTGTCCTCACAAAGTTCGTATAACAGGGGAGACAACACATTAACATAAGGTCAAGTAGTCATGAAGAAAAACTAAGGGGGCGGGACCAGCAGTTAGCATAATGGCTATGTCTCTGGACTCCCATGTAGTCGACCGGGTTCGCATCCTGGACCCGGCGGCTTAAAACTCACGCTGGGCACGTGTGCATGTGTGCCCAAGATCCCGAGAGGAGAACAGAGAAGAAGGGACTGCGGCATAGCCATCCCCCCAGGGGGTGATTTCTTGCTTTCTGTCTCTCTGTCTCTCTCTGTCTATCTGGTGAGCGGACATGCCCTATGGAAAAAAACCTCTCAAAAAAAAAAGAAAAAGGATTTTAAAAAAAGTAAGGGGGGCGAAGAACACCTGTTCCTACACTCAGCTCTTCTCTATAGTTGTCATCTATAGTCTCAAGTTTCCCAATGAGGAACCACATGCTTCTTAAAGAAATAAAGGACTATTCACTTTTGTTTCCCCAACAAGTTTCAGAGGACAGCCCCGTGAGGTATTTGGAGAATATGTAAGCAAAGAGCAAGAGAGTGAAGGAAAATGAGAAAGGATGAGGCAAAGAGGAGGCTGCTTCAATTCAACTGATTTGCCCATAATTATTTTATTGACTTTAGAGTTACAAGGGGAGAGGAAGGTGCCAAGCCTGGAAAGGAAGGCCATGCGTAGGAAGGGACACAGCATCACAGCCAGCACGCAGGAAGCAGTGAGTATCTGATCGTCTTTGGGAAGATAGAAAATGGGATTCAGTAAAGACAGAGACCAGCGTGAGAGAGACGGCAGCGAGGCTAAGAGACGCGGCCTCTGCCTGGAACCATAACACGGGCTGAACGAAGGCATTTCTCTTTTCACATCTCTGGGAAAAGAGACGAGGGGAGAACTGATTCTCCAGAGAGCTACGAGGCTATAAAATGCATGAGGAACTAGAGAGCCACCGTCAGAAGCACAACGACATCTGCGTTTGGATTGGGCAGATGAGCAGGATGGGGGGGATCTCACAGGATTGCCATGAATCGAATGACAGTGACGACATGCTAGGAACCACGCGAGGCTCCACACAGAATGACTCCTCATCACCGCTACCCCACGAGGCAGGCAACAGTATTACTCCAGTGTCACAGAGGAGAACCTCAAGGCTGCCAGGTTAAGTAGCTTGTCCAGGCTGCAGAGCCAGCAAATGGCAGAGTCAGGAAAGAGTCCCAAGCCTGCCAGGCTCTGAAGTCAGGGCATTTCCACACCCCTATGTCTTCACATTACAGGTTTCCCAGGGCCTCAGTGAGGATGACTGGGGAGTTTACAAAGTCTCGGGGTTAAAGAACAACGATTCAGGCGTGGGCAGGATAGTTTAAGTTTCACAGGAGAATGATGAGCTCCTGCCCCCTGGGATTTCCAGGGAATGGAAAGGAGAGAAGTATGGTGGGGGGTGATTTTGATCGGAGGGTGTTGTTTGAGGGAAGGGACTGGCAGGATGATTCCGGTCCTGCGACGAGTCTTAGGCAGCAATGCGGTAGTTGGGGTGGACCTGAGGCCTGACATCGCAGACCATGCCGAGAAGCTGGGCCAGGACGCGCTCTCGGTTTCTCTGCTGGGAGCTCTGCATGCCCTGTACCTGGCGCCTTGTCGCCTGCTCCACCTCAGCCGACAGGTTCCCCTGGGAGCCCATGGCCTAGGAGGGTGGGGAAAGGAGTGGAAGAGAAGAAAAGGCAGAAAAGAGAGAAAGGTCCAGGCGTGTGGTAGGCAAGATTCTGAGCAAGGCCAAAGAGAAAAGCCCTCTCAGAAACCATCCCATCCCACAGAAATTCCCAGACACCAAAGAGCAATACAAACCTCTTTCCTCTAAGACCCGGCGTGCCACCTCATCCTAACACAGGCTGGAAAATCCCCACCTCACCACTCGTGGCCCGACCCTCCCCCTCCACCCCCAACTCCAAAGGAGCTGTGCGTCCTTCACAGCTCCCAGGCTCTCGCACAGACATGGCAGAGCTCATCAATGTGGTGGCCCTGCCAGGTCCCATCAGCCCTCTACCACCTCACCAGATGCACCCCGGGGTCCCCCACTCACCGCCTGCTGCTTGCTCTGGAATTCCTGCTCCCGCTCCCTGCGATACTGTTCCACCTCCATCTGTGCCTCCTCCTTGGCCTGCTTCAGACGCCGGGCCTTCCCTAGAGGCAGGAGAAAGGTCAGGTTTGGGGGTGGATGACCCACGAAATGTGATAGAGCAGTTAGTCCTTTCCGAAAAGTTACGGTGCCTTCTGTCAGCCAACCAGGTGTTCGATTCTAACAGCCATCCACATCTTCCCTCCTGACCAGCTTCAGCCCCCAGCTCTGTCCCCACCAGCCTCCGGGTTTTCCAAGGATTCGAGTGTTTACATCCTACATCCCGGATTTTATTTTCCAGACTCCTAAGGGAGGGAATCGAAGACTCACGCTTTCTGGCGTCTGCTACCTTCTCCGCCGCACGCTTCTCCGCTTGCAGGAGCTGCTGGATACCCTGGGACTGACTGGCCATTTTTGTCCTTAAGGCCGAAGCTTTCTCAAAAGCTACCCAGGTACCAGATGGCCTAGCCCCACCGCCTCCTTCTCCTCCTCCAGCTGTTGCTGCAGTCCTCCACTGCCCCTGGGTCTTAGTGCGCCCCTTTTCGCTCAGCCTCCTGCTTCAGTGGCGCCCCAGTCTGATGCTCCCACTGATGACTGGTCCTCCTCTCCCGCTCACTCAGGCAGCACCCAGAAAGGCCACGTGGGGGCAGCAGAGACCAGGTCCGAAGCCGCTGGTGTCACCCCGCAGGTGCAGACACTGCTTGGGTGGGGGCAGGGCGGAGACGGGAGGCGCAGTTCTGGGCGGAGGGAGAGTTTGATTGGCGGTCTTAGGGGGGTTGCGAGTGAGGTGAGGAGATAAAGACGGCATCGTGCAAACCATGTTGGAAAGGCGTATTCTGGGAGTCAATCCCGCCCCCACCTGGCTGCCACCTCCGTCTCTCCCTTCACGATCCCAGGTCCAAGTTTCCACATCCCCCTTCCTTGCCCTGCTCTAGGACTGTCTTGATGTCTTTCCCTGTGTTTTGTTTTGACCTATCCCTGTCCTTGGCCTCACTGTAGCGTTTGTTTCCCATTGTCACTCTGATTTTTTTTTTATCCTCTTATCTACCGTTTTCTCTCTTTTCTTTTTTCGTTTGTCACTGAACCATGTCTCCACTCCTCCTAGTTGAAGAGGCGGGAATAAAGCTCCAAACGGCCCCACCTTCCGCCCAGGCCTCGCCTCTCCTCGTCTTCCGGTTTCAGGCGGACCCTTTATCTCCGGCTCCCTAGTTTCTCTCCGGAGGACGGAAGGAGAATCACCCTTCGGGGAGTAACGACATCCGGTAGCGCGCCTACAGTTCCCTTCCGCCCTTCACCTCCGGCTCTGCTCGCCTCATTTCCGCCAGCTTGTTGTCTCCGCCCTTCCCGCCGCCCCTCTCGGAGGTCTTTAAACGCGCCCCGGGCCTGCAGCTGGGGTTCTCGGGGCGGGGGCAGGTCTGATGAGTACCCGCTCTCCCGGGGCCCCCGAGGAAGAAGCCTCCACCTCCACCCGCCGGGTACAGGACGCTCAGTGCCTAGATCGGTCTCCGCAATTCTCTGTGACTTTTTAGAATTCAAGTCTCTGCTGATAAAAATGTCCATCAGACCCTGTTTGTTCTTTTCAAGTTCGTTCCTTAAAAGTTAAAACTTACCTGGGCTCAGGAGCCTTAAAGCAATCGTTTGTCCTTTTTCTCAATTTTACACTTAAAAAATGACATCTATGACCCCAGCACCCTAAAAAAACAAGTGCAGGCCTCTCTGTGAGAGACGAGCGTCAGGATAGGTACCCCATTTCTTGCTGAGGATGGAAGGAGGAAGGAGAAGCTAAGAAAGGAAGAAATGGGAGCTCAGGGCCGGAGAGGGAGGGATCCGAGGCCGGGGCCTGACTGCTGCCTTTTTTCCTTCTTCCTCAGGCCAAGAGGTCCATGGCCTCTGCTTCCCGCCGCCAGCGCCGAGAGCATCGCTTCCGCCGCCACCTGTCG